CCCTTCCTCCCTTCCACCTCCCTTGTCCTCCTCCTCTCCTTCCCCCCTCTCTCCTCCTCCCCCGTTTGCGTGAATACCTATTTAATCGTTTATAGCTTTCTTTTCCCTTACCAGCAAGGAAGAACTCCATTTTCTCAACTCTTCTAATTCCTCTTCTTCTCGCCGGCAGGAAGAAGCAACCGCAACCGGACAACCGCGAGCAAGGGGGCGAGAACTGCGTGGCCGTCCTCAACGACTTCTACGACGACGGCGTCAGGTGGCACGACATCGCCTGCCACCACGAGAAGTCCATCATCTGCGAGCGCGACGACTGAGAGCTCGGGCGGAGGCCAGGGGCGGCGTCCCTTGGCGCGCAGTTGGGCGCTCTGCGGGAAGGAATCTCTGCCGAAGGACTCTTGGCTTCTGGCGAGGAATGTCCGTATTTATTCCTATTTATGTGCGAATAAGAATAAAAGAAAACGATTTATGCGCATGTTTCTATCACGACTGACCTTTTGTGAGGCATTCCTGGTCCAAGGAGTGATAGGATTCCCAGTGAGGGAGACATCGCTGATGCCAAAATATAGAAATGTTAACAAATACGCAGAGAGACGGAGAGAGAAAGAAAGGATGGCTAAGGATTGGGATGAAAGATGGGAAAAGTTAAATATTCACACAATGGTGTACACACTGCTATTATCAATCTGTATTAATGAAACAAAGGACATATGTACACGTATGAATATATATAACTGTGTAGGCATATCATAAAATCAATAATCTGCCTGAGGGTGACCCTGGCAGCTCAGTCATAGTAAACAGCGTAAGAAGAATTCATTCATAAATCAAAGATGTTACTGGTCAGTTGTGAAAATGTTAAGAGAATGGAAAAGTTTTATTAGTAACAAGACAAACGCAATACAAGCTATAATCATCAGATATGGAGCCAACTCTGAACAAATAACCTGAAAATATATTCAGTCATAGGAACATGACATATGAACACAGGTGCACATTACAATGCTAAAAAAAAAAAAAAAAAAACATGGAATCTGAAACAAAAGTTATGTAATGCTTATTCCTTTAACTATATTCAGAGACAGAAATCGTAACACAGCAGTCCTCGTCGAAAAGGAAAAACGAAAATAACCTACGTAATTTAGCAGAAAAAGATCGCTGGCTTTCCAACTGCAAGGTGTCAGGGTCCCGCTCACCCATGAGTACTGGTGTCAGCTGGGGTCAAGGTCAAGGCAGAGAGGGACTCGCCGCAGCGCCGCTTCTGCCGCGGCTTAAGGGTGTGCGAGTTCGTTTTCATGCGTGCGGCTTTGGCCACTTGGATACAGGACTCATCTTGGCGTATTTTTACCTAATTTAGTGAATTTCTTGGCCATGTAATATGAAAAAGTGTCGCAGTTGCGAACTAAATACTGCAAATATTCAATCACCTTTCATAACTTTTTAATAACTGACAGAAGGAATTAAGCCCTCAACTTCAAGCCCCTCCCCCAACATAAATGTGTTTCTGCGTGCGTATAAACATGTGCGTTTGCATCTGTGTGAGGGCTGCCTGTGTGTGTGCGTGTGTGTGTGCATATATATATATATATATATATATATATATATATATATATATATATATATATATATATATATATATATATATGCTAATATGTTTTTAGCTCCATTGTTCATCAAATGAAGTCCCACTTTACATAAATCGTCTACAATGATTTAAAGACTTTTCCATTAAAAATCATATCTTGATTATTTGTTATTTCCTTTTCTTTTAAAGAGAGAAGAGAGAGAGAGAGAGAGAGAGAGAGAGAGAGAGAGAGAGACTCCTGACATCCCATTATTACTCCACAGTCTTCCTCACACTGGAGAGATCTGGCCAGGGATATTAATGACCTACTTACGGAGGAAAAGAAGGAAAAAGAAGAGGAGGGGGAAGGGAGAGGAGGTAAACTTGCTCATCAGTTAGGAAATGCCTTGCTGCTCGTGGGTATAAAAGGCGAGGCTGTGGGTACGGGCAGCACAATCGTCTGACTGTTCATCACGGGTGAGTAAAGGAAGAGGAAGAGAGAGGGAGGGATGAAAGAACGAGAGAAAGAGAGGGGGAAGAGAGTGGAAGGGAGAGTGAGAGAAGGAAATATCAAAAAGAGTGAAGTCTACGAAGTTATGAAAATTGTTTTGTGTACTTTTGACCAGATATGATGCATGGAATGAACTTTTTTTTTCATTAAAATTTCATCGGCTTCAAAGTCTACCACGTTTTTTTTTTCGGAAATGGTTCCATGGCATAAAAGGTTGAAACATAAGGAATATAAATATCAGAAATCATGCATCTTTTAGTATATTCATGGTTTCAGGAGAATGCTTTGCGATATTTCAGTGCAGCAGAGGACACGCAGTGATGAATAACTATCGTAGTACGTATTTAACGAGACTCCCAAATACGCCTTTCTGAGGTTTTATCGCCTCTTCGTTTCAGATGAAGGTCCTTCTGTTCCTAATTGTGGTGGCTGTGGCCCTGGGAGACGACGTGGTGAGTTGCAACACCAATGGCTCATTAAAGAGACTAATTTCAATAAGGAAATGCTTCAGACAGGGGCCAGTTTCAATAAGCAACTTGGTGGTTCTTTGGTGTGAAAAATGTAAATTTTCTGTTTTTGCAAAGCTATTCTATTGTGGACAATTCTATCAAACCAGGAATAAGAAAGAAACGCAAGCTTATTCTACATCACATCTGCCACACACCTTCGTCAGTACCTTGAACATTGCAGGTGGACGAGGACCGGGGCGACAGCGAGTACCACTTCGCCTGGCTCCACGACGGCGGCCGGACCTACGACTGCAGGCAGCGCCAACAGCTACTGCTCAAGCCTCGGCCGCGGCTGGAAGGGCATCAGCATCGAGACCAGGGAGGAGAACGACTTCGTCACCGATGTGATCGAACACCGTAATTTCCATGCGTTTTTGCCACATACACGTACATGTATGAACACATGCTCACACCCACACGGAATTCACAAACTTGCTTCAATTGTTTATGTATAATGTCTTTGTATAACTCCCGAGAGTCCCAATGAATAATTAGCAAGACTTTGGCTTCCCTCTCAGACGAGCTGCCGTGGGTTTGGACCGGAGGCCAACGCAGGGGACGCGACTTCGTGTGGCCTTCAGGAGCCCGTTTCGTGGGTCTGAACTGGTCTCACACTGGCGGGTATGTGCACGGGTCCTTTCGCTTGTCGCGCGGTCTGCCCTCCCCCTGTCCTCCTCCCACCTTCCTCCTGTCCTCTTTCCCCTTCCTCCCTTCCACCTCCCTTGTCCTCCTCCTCTCCTTCCCCCTGTCCTCTCTCCTCCTCCCCACCCGTTTGCGTGAATACCTATTTAATCGTTTATAGCTTTCTTTTCCCTTACCAGCAAGGAGTAACTCTCCATTTTCTCAACTCTTCTAATTCCTCTTCTTCTCGCCGGCAGGAAGAAGCAACCGCCAACCGGACAACCGCGAGCAAAGGGGCGAGAACTGCGTGGCCGTCCTCAACGACTTCTACGACGACGGCGTCAGGTGCACGACATCGCCTGCCACCACGAGAAGTCCATCATCTGCGAGCGCGACGACTGAGAGCTCGGGCGGAGGGCCAGGGGCGGCGTCCCTTGGCGCGCAGTTGGGCGCTCTGCGGGAAGGAAATCTCTGCCGAAGGACTCTTGGCTTCTGGCGAGGAATGTCCGTATTTATTCCTATTTATGTGCGAATAAGAATAAAGGAAAACTTGTCTGAAAATTAGTCCGTATTTTTTCCTTTTTAAATTTGAATGAGAATTAAAGCAAATTCGTTTAATTTACCTTTTGCAAAACGTCCGGTTCTTTTTCGTGGCGCGCTTTATCCTTTTTCACTGTGGTGCCACATCCTCATATCTATCTGTACATGTATATACAGAGATATATATGTATATACCATATGTATGGATGTAATGTATATTTATACCCACACCCAAACACAACTCAGACACACACACACACACACACAGCACACACACACACACACCACACACACACACACACAAACACACACACACACACTATATATATTATATATATATGTATATAGTAATATATAGTATATATATATAATACATATACATATATATACATACATATATATATACATAGACATATATATATATCAATATATATTATATATATATATATACATATATACATATATATACATATATATATATACATATCATATATTATATATATATATATATATATATATATATATATATATATATATATATTTATATAAATATATATATATATACATAATATATATTATATATATATATATATATATATATATATATACATTATATACTATAATAATATATATATATATACACCAAGCATATATACGTACGTAACCCACGCATACACATGTACAGACAAAACACATATATAAATCTCTATCTCTCTTTCTATATATTGGGTATGAACGGGGCAAACAATGTATAATGGGTATATATACGGTGGGAATATAATATCATACATTACATATATATAATACAGTTATCCATGTTTTATAATTATGATATACTATAATATATAATATATATACAATCATAGATATAAGTGAAACTTAATATATATATATGTAAACATAATATATATACATATATATATATATCATATATATGATATAGATCACTAGTATACTGGGCAATATATATATACAACGACATTATATAAGATCATAATTACTAATTGGCCAAAAGCCGCTTTTCCGTTCCGCCTGCAGGAAAACTTGGGCGTTCGCTCTCAATTTCAGCTCTTGAAAAAAAGGTCATTTTGGCGGTAACCGATTCTTCATCATGGATTGTTCCCTCCCCTAATCGAGCCTGGGTTAAGGGGTCTACCTCTTATGCTAAAGTGTTATGTGTGTAGATAAATGGACAGTCGCAGTAAATTGAGTATATTGCGGAGTGACAAGCGAATTACGGGCGGACGACCTCCCATTCGACACGCTGTGTTTTGATTTGTAATATTAGTATATATAATACGGTAGCGTCTACTACATATAGTATATACTTACTATATATAGAGAGAGAGAGAGAAGGGAAGAGACTGAGAGAGCTAGACGGAGGAGAGAAGTAGAGTAGAGAGGAGAGAGAAGTCAGAGAGAGAGATAGAGATGATTAGAGTAGACTACATTTATATCATGACATACATATATTATGTGTATATAGTAGAGCAGATGAATATAATATATGATAGTAGTATATATTAATAGGAACTAGTATTACTATAATATAATATATTAGTATATTAAGATATGATATAAGGATATTATAATATATATAATATACACACTAGGTGCTGCCACATATAGCATAAGCGTGTGTTTGCGTTATATCGCCGAAGAGAACAGCACACCCACAACACACACACACAGTGCAACACACACACACAACACAACACACACACAACCCATTATATATATTTATACGCTACCGCGTTGGCGTATCGACGTGATGAGTGACATACATAGTATAGGATAATATATAGTATAGTAATACTATTATATATATTCATACGGTTATATGTACTGACGAGATGAGTACATGTATTTGTAGCCGGACGACAAGTATGGTTATCTATTATCAAATTTGTATGTATATATATATACACAATGGTGGGTGTCTATCTATGGTATAGTATAAGTTGTATATATACTATATTGATTTTTCAGACCGTCAATGGGATTAGACCCAGCTATGCTGACGCCGGCAATATAGAGACTTGATTCATGGTATATATATGTAAATTTTATGCTATATATATTATCCGACATGAAAATTATGATAAAGTGCTCTCCGTTACAGTCAAGAAAAGAATGTACTTTCTTTGTCAGAATCAAGAAAAAAAGTGTTCTTATAGTTTGATCAGGAAATTGTGTTGAAAACAGGAATTGCAAGTTTAAGAAATTTGGTCTTTTTATTGTCACACATAAATATCATAAAAAAATACAGACGTCGTTCGCTCTACAAGAAAGCAGGACGCACGTGCTCTCATCCGTGGACTCGGGCTTTGCGCTCGCAGATGATGGCCTTGTCGTGGTGGCAGGCGATGTCGTGCCACTTGACGCCGTCGTTGTAGAAGTTGTTGAGAACCCCCAGGCACTTCTCGCCCCCTCGCTCGCGGTTGTCTGGTTGTGCTTGACCATTCCTGGCGGTCACAGGGAAACCAGTTATAAGTTTTCTTTAAAGTGTAGCCTGTGGCTGTGTGAGTCAAAGGAAAAGCCAAGAGCCACTTACCCGCCGGTGTGAGACCAGTTCAGACCCACGAATTGTGCACCTGAATCCCAAGCCCAGTCCAAGCCGTGTCTGCTGAGGTGACCCGAGGTCCAAATCCACGGTAGCAGATCTAAAGAGAACACAAAAAGCACACGCATTTAGCAAGGTTGCACACTCATACCTTCGTGGACTCGAGCCTCGACCTTCAAGGCTCGGGTGTCAATCCCGCAACACAGCAGAGGATCAGCTTGAACTATTACCTCCTGAAATGGCTTTGCTGACGAGACTGTCCTCCTCTCGAGTCTCGATGCTGATTCCCTGCCAGCCGGAGCCGAGGCTGCGGCAGTACTGGTTGGCGCCATCCCACGTGTAGGTCTTGCTGCCGTCATGGCGCCACGAGAAGTGGTACTCGCTGTCGTCCAGCCTGTCGTCCACCTGGAGTCGGCCGAACCGCCGTTGTTGTGGGTCGGCAGAGAATGATGTTAGGGCAGGCTTTCGAGAATCGATTTGGACGGCAGAAAATTCCAATGATTCAACTCAAAAGGACAAATACTTCAAAAGGTCAGATGATGACCTTTTACATGCATATATTCCAATCATTTCAGGGTGCGAAAGCAGTCCTGACTGCAGCGACAAGGGCCTCGAGACTCACCGCAACGCCCGAGGCAGGTGGCTGGGGCACCACAGGATGCACAGGTGCCACGGGGTGGGCGGGTCTGAAGGGGCGTGGTCGGTGCGGGAAGGTAGAGGTGGTGTGTCTGATCCATGCCTGACAGGAAGGAAGTGGGTATGCCCTGGGGTGAGGGAAATGCCCGTGTCCGCCGTGGGAATGCTCCCCAGCAGCCGCAGCAAGCAAAGCCAACAACACCAAGAACTTCATCTGTAAATCACAAGCGAATACTTACAGAATGACGTAAATAGTCAACAGTTAGAACAAGTCTCCAGTCACAGCGACTTGTCTTACAACTCGTTTAGAGCACGTCCGACTACTGAACATCAGAAAAGTCATTTCTAATTCGTCTTCAACTATGCATTCACGCCACAAGCAATTCACTAATCACCTCGTTTCCCCAACCGCAATACACGCCTTGTCCTCAAAAGGCTTTCGTTTAAATGGCATCAAAGAGTTGAGAAGCGCGATCTTTCCCAAGCGAGCGGCCGTCTTACCGTGATCGGCGGACGAGCGAATGTGTCGACCGCAAGCAAAGCCGCCCTTTTATATGCA